TGATTGTCGCAAATCGAAGTGTGCAGATTACGTGTCACTTTTAATACATACTATCTAAATGTATATAGATATGTCTCAAAATACGTGATTTGATGTTATGATGAACATTAGATATTGTTTATTTGGTTGTGGCAACGAACGCTTAGGGCGCAAGCATTTTATTTGCGGCGTGGAGGTGGCGGGATTTTGAGAGCGGCATTTTCTTTAAATGTGTTAGGAACTCAATTATATTTTACAACATAAAAATGTGCTGAAGAAATATTTTTGCAATGAAATATCACGAACTGTATTCTTTGAACACTTTAATAAACTCTGCAAAGAAAAGGAGCATTATTTTTTCCCGACAATACGAGGTATATGTAAAAAAGAAATTCAGTAAAACAGGTCTTCGTTACGTTTTAGCACACACTCCACCTTTGAAAATCCAATGGTTGCTCCCCTAGAATGGACGTATTTCAGCAAATAAAAGTCTTATAATTATTTGCTCATACCAACAGTCAAACAGTCAAACACCGAACTTATAGCTTGGTCCCTGCGTATTCCTTATTTATTCCTCATTTTCGGTTGTGTCGAACCTCGGATTACGCGATGCATTATGTAGGGCCCAGTACAACAGTGTTTGACTGTTTATCAGTCAACCAATTGAAAAACAGCCATAAACTGTTTGGTATGAAGCAAAGATTGAGGACTTTATAAAGACTCACATAATGTGTCTGATGGACTCACCCACGTGTTAAATAACCTATTGCAATATGTTAGAATCATGAAAGTTAAACATTAACTCTTTTCACAAACATAATATCTGGTGAATGTCGAATAAAATTCATTTGGGAATTCTCATCTTATAATAAGTATACCTCACCGAAATAGCCAAACATTATATACGTGGGGCAACCACTGAAGGGTCACCCACTTATGGGGGACTGGCAACATATTTCCAAAAGCATTAAGGAGTCTAAAGAAAAAAGAATTGATCAATGCCAACTTTTTCATTATGAGAAAACACAACGTTTCGGAGTATATACTTACTCCTTCATCAGGTGACTTAATGTTATAAAGCAGAGAGCATATAAATGTATTAAGTTTTAAATCCTGTCTTCCAGTCCATCGCTATCAATTATCAACGCTAATTAACTGTTCAATGGGGACTAGGCTCATGAGGGTGTTGTAGAGTCAGTATATTGAGTAACCTCCCCTGTTACTGATCGTATTGGTGCACTTTGACCTCAGATTCTACCCCTGTTCTTAATAAGCCTGGGGCGTTCGACTCTCGGGTGAAAACTCTTTGCCGAGTCCCAAGATCATGTGGCATCGGCGCCCAAGTTTGTCCGAAATATGTTCAATTAGCACACCACTCCAATCCGCGGATGTCTGGTTACAGAATAAGGACAGTATTCATCTTGTTCGCATATTCTTTTCATTAATAATGTCAAAAATGTTCATCACTATGTGCTCTTAGACGATTGGAGCTATTTCATTCCAATTCTATTTCTGTACAGGATTTCTTCAACTCTAATATTCGTATCAATACTTGCATTGAGTATACGTGGTTCCAGGACACAGCCTATTGCCACGTTCCTGTACTGCTAATTTCAATAAAGACTTCGTTGATTGCCTAGGCCCGGGCGCGTATGTATTCAGAATCTTTGGTTGGCTGGTGATTAATGTCAGAGTGCCGTGTGGAGTTGTGGGAAATTATGATCGAGATTAAATAAAAAAAAGTACCATTAAACCATGAGTTCAGTTATGGCATTCGTTGCATCTAATTGTCCATATCTCTTGGATTAATGTGGACGGATAAGAAGATTGATTTGACATAGTATTGCATTAACGTCTGACTTTGGTGGATATCATATATATCTTAGACCTTTAAGTAAGAAAAATATTTCCTATACATGACCTCATATTTTAAACCTTTGAGCAGAAAATAGTATTAATTGGATCAAAAGTACACATTAACATACTAACACAGTGATTAAACATATCAATACTTTCACTTTATTCGTTTCGTATAAACTTGATACGGTTACTTTATATATCCTTCAAATTTTATTTGCACTTTGATACATGTCTTCAAATCATTGTTTTTATTTGATACGTACCTTCAAGTGGTCGTTGAGGTCGTTGGGATCCCTGTTCATCATGTCAAGTTCTGCCATTTTGGTTGAGATCGGTGATTAACAAGTAAAATAAATCCTTGCCACGAGGTGTTGAAGGGAGTCTGTCCAGCTGAAACTAAGGCTGTTTACCTCAACACTGGCTCTTAAATATCACCAACAAAAAATGTTTTCCTCGATTGCCAAGTAGCAACGTGTCCGAGTGTAGGAATAACTCGAAAATGGAGCACATCCCACACAAAGTCACTTAACCGGTTCAATCTGAATTTACTTAGCTTAAAGTTGAAAGCATTATCATTCAAGGATTATGTAAATATACACATCGGAACACGTGAGTGCGTTTCGTGAAATTCATAATGACATTGTGCAATATATGCATGATGACTGTCCATACATGAAAAGTTTAAACAATATGGCAGGTTGCCCCCATACGTTAGTGTGCTATGGTTACCCTTCAGTTCCTTGATAGTGACAGATATGCAAATACGGTCTCCCATCAGTACAGGTCAAGAACACGGAGATGACTGTGTTAAGGTACTTCAGTTTAACGTGTGGAAACAATCCAGATCCCGTTGGAAGTATTTCTAGCTGTATATAATTTGCACGTATGAAACGTATGTCGACACTTTTTTATTGTTCAATCGTTTATAAAACAGTATATGTTTTACTTAGGGCATATGGCCTGGTCACTGGTATGACCAAATACATCGACTCAAGAGGGACGGGGCCAAAACTTTTCCAGCTAAACAACTTGAAATATAAAACGTCAACGAAGAGGAAAACTAATCTCGGTTTAGGCCAGATTCCATTTGGCCAAAAGGCAAATTGGCGTTGTAATTATATGAATTGATCCCTGAAAACCACTTCAAAGTGTTTCCTTCCTTTCTTAACGTTTAGGTTAAAACCATATACAAAATGCTATCTTAATATATCAGTGTGTTAAGTAATGATCATCACTATCATCATCTTGATTCCGGGACAGCTGTGGTAGTACACTGACCGCGAAATACAAACAGAGGTTGTACACAATCTGAAATTTAATCAAACACCTTGAATTATCTTTTGCATTACAGAGTTGATTTCTACCACTGAACAATTGTTGCATTTTAAAGAGGTTGGACTGGTGCATGTATGTGGAAACCTATTTCTTGCAGCACTACAACATGGTAACGATTACCCATGGAGTAGTAGGTACACTATGTACATAATCCTTCCGTGGTTCAAGCGACGTGACATCTAAGTTGCAAGGTAGGAAACTCTACTACTAAGGTACTAACTCTCTCACTTACTGTCGTATATGCACATCAGCTGGGACGTTGGGACGTGTGCGTGTGCGTGTGTGTGTGTGTGTGTGGGGGGGGGGGGGGGGGGGGGGGTAACATTTGTTTCAAAGGCGACTGAAATGGATTAGGGTGGTATGGTTAGGTTATCTGGTTGATTGTGTGCCATCGTACCCCGACTGCGTGGGACGTTGCTCGTAATATCAAGCACTGGTTTGGATTATTTACAGGCTGTCGTGAAATGACTTGAACGTTGCTGGCGGTCGGGTGAAAAAAACATTCACATGTTTTACGGACGGAAAGTATACTCTTGTATTTTGAAGCACAGTCTGGGTGGCACTTCCTCTCAGCGATCCGACCCCAGTGTATCTACATCTACAATGCCATCGTCCTCGTTCCATAATCTTCTTAACCAAACGGCTTTGATTTCGAGTGGAAATTCGTATATGTTACAAACTCCTTACTGATGAAATTTTGAAAAATGATTATATCCTTGATTACCATGGAGCTGGGGCTAGGACATGTGTATATGCACATGCATATAAAACAGGCATATGGGCAGTGATTTGTTATAACGAGTGGTGTGACGTCCTCAGCTGTCGACCTGACAGTGCACACTTCCTGCCTGCCAACATTTGGCTCATGTAAAGTACTGAGCACCCGTCAGGACAGTCCGCAGTCATTTAGAGTTTGGTTGCCGCGTCATGATGAAGAGGCAGAGACAAATAATGTGAACACTCTAAATTCACAACATTCCGATTTTGTAAATAGGTTTTGGTTACATTTTGAATTTTAATGCTGCAAGAATTATGTTGAAAACTGTACGACAAACATGGGCTGTTCATTCATGAAAGCCCTCAGACTGACATTTAGACCCAGAACTAAAGATTTCTCATTTAAATAATATATATCTCCAAAATAAAATAACTAAAATCCAAACAGAACCCAGAGCAATCCTTAATTTCAAAGCTGAGGCAATCTAGACTTGCCGAACCATTATAGACCTGACTGAAGTACCAAACCAATCAGGTGTGCGGAAACAGGTGACGGCACTCGAGTGCAGCTGAACTTCACCCCTTTTGTTGTGGAATCTTTTTTCTTTAGGAATATAGCTGAATTATATTGCCAAAGACATCAGCTAGCGCTACAAACAATAATTAAGTTTTGACTCAATCATGCATCAACATATTAGCAACATCGTGTTAACTGTTGGAAAATAGGATACGCGAGGATAATACGTGGTGCCTCAGTGAGTGCGTTAATCACTCAGGTTTGACTCGCACTGAAAACGTGTGAAATGCTGGACTTTTTTATTTCATAGAAAAATAACGACTGTAAGTATCTGTCGGGGTGAGTTCGTTCTGTCGTGTTTTCCGATCGCAGCGTTACCTGTGAGGGGATCTGCCTGTCGAAGAAACACTGTCAAGAGAGACTTGTCATGACCATTACTGAGTTTTATGAAGTGTCTTTATTTCTTTGGAAACATCCATCTGTTTGCATATTTCTGCAAACATGTTTGCGCTGTCTATATATGTTCTGTTATTTAATATTTACTTTTACTGTTTACGTGTTTATCCCCAAAACACCATCTACCAGATAACACTTGTGAGTAAAGATTTATTTGGATTGTACAGACAATAATCTATGTACAATATGATTCAAATTTGATTGTCAAAGCAAACAACAGAAAGGAAATAAACAAGATAGGTACATATACACGTGTATATGGAACACAACAGTTATATATATATATACACAATGGATATCAAAGGGTAAAGGAAAGATATCACAGTTTCTGGGGTTAAGACAGTTTTCTCAACCGGCGAGACAGAACTTCAAGAAATAGTCAGAGTCAAGAGTCGATGTCCCTTCCATCCTCACGATCAATTCTCGTCCAATAGGAACCTGAGCATTTTGATGCAGCGTTGTTAATGAGATTTTGGGTTATTTGTTGGCGACGGCGATTTTACTGAAGCACAGGCCACATGCTTCGCAGATGGGAGCCAAACAACAGTTGATGAGGGAGCCGAAGAATTTCTGGTAGCATCCAAGATAGCTGCTGCACATCCTGAGGCAGGGTGTGAACTGCCAGATGTGTTGGAAGGACATCATGGCGAACTCGCATCCCCAGCAGAGAGACAAGGGAATAGCACAGATGAAGGTGAGGAAGGTGTAACAGCAGCTCTTGCCACAGGTGAAGCATTTGTAGGAGTTACGCCATACACAATCTGCACTGTGGGCTCCTTCGGGCTCCCCGATAACATCCTCGAACATCACCTGCAAACAAGGGAAATAGGTTGTGTGTGAGCTCTAGATATCAACGTCACGAAATAAGATAGATGTGGTTGTGGACAACAATTTGTATTACGCCTAAGTATAATGGGATGAATTCTAGGGTTTTTTTTCGATTTGGGAAGTACAACATAATGACATCGTGGACAATGCAGAAGCATGGTTCATAAAAGACAAGAAAACGGCAAGGATATAATAAAATAATCAGTCCATCCTTCTTACCAAGATCTGTTTTGTAGTTCTAGCAAAATTTAAACGTAATACCCTAAGGAAATTCTGACGCCAGATTAAAGATGAACTAATAAACTGTGTCATTTTTGTGTTGCAAGTTATGTGTAAATGTCGTTTTTGTACGCTATGACTGCCTTCCTAAGTGGGGACTACCAACAGCATGGGCTAGAGTGTGTGGTTGGGTGCATGAGGGAGGTTACACCGTTTTGAACATTTCACGTCTATCACGACATGCCGTCTTAACGCAGGCGGCAAAGCCGAGGGCATCACAAGCACAGTTCGGAATCATAATACGCAGTTTGGACAACTGAACGCTGTGCTGCATGATATGGTAAATTGTCTTTTTACCCTTGTGGCAGCAGAGCATTCACTCGTCAAACTGAAGACACAGGTTCGATTCCCAACATGGTACACTGTGTGCAGCCATTTTTAGCAATATTATTTGAAGAGTGTGAGAACACACTCTCTTGCTCATTCCTGCTTATTACCAAGTTGATCAACCCAGTAAGTGAAGATATCTGACAATCAACAACTCCATTTACCTTGGGTCAAGCTTATCATGGTCGAACAGTTCAACATCGGCCAGAGAGGGAGACACGAAGGAAGACAATTCAGCAGCATGAAGTATTCCACTGGCTTCTCGGTTCAAAATGCTTTACTATTGCTTCTATATATCAAAAGCAGTTTTTATTCTCGCAAATCGCAAATGCGTAGATTGTATGTAAACACATAAATATGTGCACAGTTAACACATAAATACGTGCACAGTTAACACATAAATATGTGCACAGTTAACACATACATACGTTCACAGTTAACACGTAAATGCATGTACAGTTAACACATAAATACGTGCACAGTTAACACATAAATACGTGCACAGTTAACACATAAATACGTGCACAGTTAACACATAAATATGTGCACAGTTAACACATACATACGTGCACAGTTAACACATAAATATGTGCACAGTTAACACATAAATATGTGCACAGTTAACACGTAAATGCGTGTACAGTTAACACATTACTATGCGGACAGCTAACACATAAATACGTGCATATAGATAGGTCTCCAATACGTGATTTGGGGTTCATATTAACACCAGATATTGTCCAGGTCTTTTCATAAGAAACACTTATAAGTCGGAGGACTTTTCCCCATAGGGGCGACGTACTATAGTTATGATTACACACATAGTTCGTCTACATAGACACAAGACCGGGCACTTCCCCAGTGGGGGACAAAAGCTTTTATTGACAAACCCATCATAACACATACATTTCACTATTCCCCTGCGGTCCCTACGTGCCGATCACTGTGTTGTCATTGGCAACAGGGCCCTAGCAACGTAACAACGATATACAAACGATCCAAACTTTGAATATATTAGAAAAATATATATATATATATGGCATGATATATCGAAAATCTATTGTAAGTCTTCAGTAACAGATATGAGTAAATTGAAGGTAAAACAATTTTACAGAAAACAGTACATACTATGTCATTTGAGAGACGTGCTCAAGTGTAAGCAACTAATTACGATATGCCAGAATCGGGAATTGTTAATGTTGCTCCGAAACCTGATAAATAGTTCCATAATCTCTCCAGTAACTTGTTGTATTTCTTTGACTGTTGATCCATATTTTTCGGTAGCTTTCAGCATACAAATATGCGTGGCCATACGTTACTGAAATACCTACACATTATACACGATCCTAGAACACAACCCGTAACCCAGTTCTTGTACTGCTACTTTCAATAAGGTTTCATTGATTCGTATGCCTGGGTGCGTCTGCATTCACCCAGAACCATTCACTCGACACTTGGCACGATCGATCACGTATCTATAGCGTTGATGATTTATGTCAAAGTGTGGCGTGGAGGGAAATTTGATATAGGCAAACCCACAGAGTCACATTAAACCATCACGTTTAGTTACCGAGATGTAATGATTGACATGCCCCCGTGACACGATGCTGGCTGATAAGAGAATTGAACATATTATTGATTAAAAGTCTGACTTTTGTGGACATCATATATATCGTTGAGCAGTATATGTGTGTCATTAAAATGATACAGTCTTTTACAATACATGACGGAGAAACCTTCATATATTGCACTTTTAAATAAAAATATCTTTTTAAGACGAATAAAAAATCCATCCAAATAAACAATATATTGAGCAAACCAGCAATTTTATCCTATCCGTTTTTCGTATGGAAAATCTAGTTTCTTTTTTAGTTTCTTTAACATTTTTATTTCCCATTTTTGTATACAGCGAGTAATTAGGGGAATATAAGCAGTACATGTACGTTCAAAACTTAATTTGCACTTTGATGCATGTTTTCAAATCATTGTTATTATTAAATACGTACCTTCAAGTGGTCATTGAGACTGTTGGGATCCCTGTTCATCATGTCAAGTTCTGCCATTTTGAGATTTGGTGATTATCAAGTAAATTAACCCTTGACACCGAGTTGTTGCACGGAGACTGTCAAGCTGAAACTAAGGCCGTTTGCCTTGACACTGGCCCTTAAATGTCCCCAACAAAAATTGTTATCCCCGATTGCTAAGCAGCAACGTGTCCAAGTTTACGAATAGCTCGAAAATGGAGCACACCACACCCCTTTGGATGGACGTTACAGCAGACGACAGGTCACGTGACCTGTCTCAAATTTCAATGTCCCTGAATTCACTTGTTAGCTTGATGGTTATTCAAAACTCTCTGCTATGGTTACCCCCCAGTGGGAGTTGATTGAGAGTTTTAAGTGATTTGGTAAACATTCCCTACTCCGGTCTCTGATAAGCAAAGGGACAAGATCAGGTATATATTTGCGTTAAGGTACATTATAAGGAGTTGTAGTTGTTGGAGCAATCCAGATCCCGAGGTGACTTTGGCCTGAGCATATTTTCAGGCACGATACACATTTTTCATGCTGTTCAATCCTTTAGAACATATCATATTTAATTTTTACATTGAGGGACATATGGTATCTACGACATGAGGTCATCAACTCAACACAATCGACTCAAGAGGGGCTGAACCAACTTTCCAACTTTTTGTAGTTACATCTGGTTAAAACCATTTTCAGTGCAAGTAAGCATCATCATCATCATCATCATCATCATCATCATCATCAGAGAGAGAGAGAGAGAGAGAGAGAGAGAGAGAGAGGTGGGATGGCTGCAAAAGGGCAGAGGTTGGTTGGTTGGTTGAAGAGTTGAGAATAAGCGGAGGTCGAAATTATTCTCTCAACGCAACGACCCCGAGGTCTTTCCACAACGCCATGACATTTTACAAACCTACTACCCATGAAATGATGTAATTATCCTATCCTTGCTTTCCATGACAACCGCGAGTAAATGTCGGCCCCTCAATGAGTTAGAATTTAACATCGTCTCGGAAATGTGTCTGCCAGACAACAAAGAGCCGGCGCTTTAATTCACGAACATCCAGAAATACGTTGTGAGAAATTTGCTATATTTTTGTCTTGGATGTGTTCTTATCGAGTCTTTCGAGAAATCGAGGTATTTCTGTCGTGGAAGTTCTATCGTAGAAAGTTACTCGTTCTTTATGTCATTAAAAGACCTGTGATGCGATATTTGTGTTGTAGAAATACCTGTCACGCGCATTATCTGTCGTAGAAAGGCTCGATAGCCCCCCCCCACACACACACACACACACAAACCCCACCCCACCCCACCCCCACCCCCACCCCCACCCCCACCCCCACCCCAAACCCCACCCCCCACCCACCCCACACACACACACCCCTGTCATAGAAAGACCTCTTACACGATCTCACTGTCGTAAAAAGACCTGTCACGGATAACTATATCGTAGAAAGACCTCTTACGCGATCTCTCTGTGGTAGAAAGACCTCTTACGCGATCTCTCTGTCGTAGAAAGACCTCTTACGCGATCTCTCTGTGGAAGAAAGGCCTATTGCGCGATCTCCCTGTCGTAGAAAAACCTGTTACGGGTCTCACCTGTTACTCGATGGATGTGTTTGTCCTGCAAATGTCTAAGTAAAATTTGATAAATAAATACAAAAAAGAAACGTTTAAAATCAACTGAGATGCCAGTATAATGTATGGGTGTAAAAACTATATGACAACATCATGGTAAGTTTTAAGTATATGCAAAGCAAACTAAGTATATACGCAGGTCGCTATAGGTACTATTAGTTACTGAAATATACATGTACAATGCACTACGTACACTTGATATTACAGTGACCCAAGGCCATATAGGTGTCAGTTTCCAATGAGATATGCCAGGATAACTGGTGTGATACAAATTGAAATAAGACTCCCCGTAACGTGCACTCTTGTAAAACGTCAAAATACACAAGGAACGAATATGATCAATCAACACAAGCATATTTGTGGCGTTGTACACGAAACAAGGCACTATCTTGTTTCTTAAAGACACCACCACATGTAATGATTTGAAATCCTGAAGTCAAGGTGGCTGCCATCCATTTCATTTTGAAACACTCTACATTTGAAGTTACGTTCGACCCGTGAAGACCCGGGTGAGAATTGGTCTTCAGCAACTAAAAGGAGGCGACTAACGGGATCGGGTGGTCAGGCGCGCTGACATGGTTGGTGCATGTCATCGTATCCCAATTGCGTAAATCGATGCTCATGAATTCAATTACTGGATTGTCTGGTCCAGACACGATAGTTTACAGACCGCCGTCATATAGCTGGACAATTGCTGAGCGAGGCGTTAAACAACAAATAAACAAACAAATCTACATTTGTCAATAAAGTTTCAACACTGTACGCGCTACTATAACATTGTTTAAAGCATGTCTCCATTCTCCGTGTATTGATTAACTGAATTGTCAGTTAAACACCACTGACAATGACAGAACTTCTTTTTTCCATATCATGTCTGGTTTGTCTGACCATTTCAACGATTAAACTCGTGCTATAACTTTTACATATGCTACTTCAGCTCTGTATATGCTAATTTAACCTTGTGTATTCAACTTGTAGTAACTCTAGTAACTGTAGTCCCTGATTCTTTATTGCCATCAGATGACTGGTCACATACTCAGTGTGATTAGTTTTTCTATCTAAATCCTATATGAAATGGCGAATAACTCTATTACGTAGGTGTTTATTTGTACTAGATCCTTGAGATGTGCTTATTTAATCGAGAAAGCAATATAGTACTGGCAGTAATTGTCGTCAACGCCCGGATATGTGCTGTTTGTGCCTCGTGTGGAAAACCAAACCAGATCAAAGCTTAAGAGAGGCTTTAATTGACTTCCATGGTACCCGACCCATATAGATGATATCGCAGTAATAGACATCAGATTGACTCGACTCGACATCGCGGTGATGAGATCAATACGTTATGATCAGGTCGCCGGCTGTCCCACTCTGGCAGTGAATTCTGAACTTTGTCACAGCAGTCGCTAACTGCAACCATGTGGTTGAAAGTATCATCACCGCCACGTCACTCAGAGACGACACAGAAGCAACCAGTTCCCCAGTTGTGACTGTCCTGGTAACCGTCATAACAACATCACCGCCACGTCACCCAGAGGAGACACACAACCAACCAGTTCCCCAGTTGTGACTGTCCTGGTAACCGTCATAACAACATCACCGCCACGTCACCCAGAGGAGGCACACGACCAACCAGTTCCCCAGTTGTGACTGTCCAGGCAACCGTCATAACAACATCACCGCCACGTCACCCAGAGGAGACACACAACCAACCAGTTCCCCAGTTGTGACTGTCCTGGTAACCGTCATTACAACATCACCGCCACGTCACCCAGAGGAGACACACAACCAACCAGTTCCCCAGTTGTGACTGTCCTGGTAACCGTCATAACAACATCACCGCCACGTCACCCAGAGGAGACACACAACCAACCAGTTCCCCAGTTGTGACTGTCCTGGTAACCGTCATAACAAAATCACCGCCACGACACCCAGAGGAGACACACAACCTACCAGTTCCCCAGTTGTGACTGTCCTGGTAACCGTCATAACAACATCACCGCCACGTCACCCAGAGGAGACACACAACCAACCAGTTCCCCAGTTGTGACTGTCCAGGCAACCGTCATAACATCATCACCGCAACGTCACCCAGAGGAGACACACAACCAACCAGTTCACCCAGTTGTGACTGTCCTGGTAACCGTCATAACAACATCACCGCCACGTCACCCAGAGGAGGCACACGACCAACCAGTTCCCCAGTTGTGACTGTCCTGGTAACCGTCATAACAACATCACCGCCACGTCACCCAGAGGAGACACACAACCAACCAGTTCCCCAGTTGTGACTGTCCTGGTAACCGTCATAACAACATCACCGCCACGTCACCCAGAGGAGACACACAACCAACCAGTTCCCCAGTTGTGACTGTCCTGGTAACCATCATAACAACATCACCGCCACGTCACCCAGAGGAGGCACACGACCAACCAGTTCCCCAGTTGTGACTGTCCTGGTAACCGTCATAACAACATCACCGCCACGTCACCCAGAGGAGACACACAACCAACCAGTTCCCCAGTTGTGACTGTCCTGGTAACCGTCATAACAACATCACCGCCACGTCACCCAGAGGAGACACACAACCAACCAGTTCCCCAGTTGTGACTGTCCAGGCAACCGTCATAACAACATCACCGCCACGTCACCCAGAGGAGACACACAACCAACCAGTTCCCCAGTTGTGACTGTCCTGGCAACTGCCATAACAACATCACCACCATGTCAATACAAGAGCAACAGCCATTATAACAACAGCCGGTATAAAATCAACAACAGTCAGCCGAAACAGTCATTACAACAGCAATAGTCATTACACCACTACAGTAATACAACAACAGTCATTACAACAGCTACAGTCAATACAACAACAGTCATTACAACAGCAACAGTCAATACAACAACAGACATTACAACAGCAACAGTCAATACAACAACAGACATTACAAAAGCAACAGTCAATACAACAACAGTCATTACAACAGCTACAGTCAATACAACAACAGTCATTACAACAGCAACAGTCAATACAACAACAGTCATTACAACAGCTACAGTAATACAACAACAGTCATTACAACAGCTACAGTAATACAACAACAGTCATGACAACAGCTACAGTCATTACAACAGCAACAGTCAATAAAACAACAACAATCATTACAACAACAACAGTCAATACAACAACAACAATCGATACAACAGCAAAAGTGAATACAACAGCTACAGTCATTACAACAGCAACAGTCATTACAATGACTACAGTCATTACAACAGCAACAGTCATTACAACAGCAACAGTCATTACAACAGCTACAGTCATTACAACAGCAACAGTCATTACAACAGCAACAGTCATTACAACAGCTACAGTCAGTACAACAGCTACAGTTAATACAACAGCTACAGTCAGTACAACAGCTACAGTCAGTACAACAGCAACAACCCCTATATCATCAAAAGAACCAGTCACTACAACAGCAACAGCAACGACCTGTTACAAACTCAACAGCTACGGTCATTATAAAAT